ATAATTGTTCCCTATGAGAACACTGAGAGGAGGTAGGCATGGAATGCTGATCCCCTGAAACCAGTCAGTACAGGGCTATAGTTCCTTATACAGATGGTGAAATGGCGGTGAGTTGGAGCACCTAAAGGCTCTTTTAAGGCGGGGGGAAGAGGGGCAGAGAAGTCAGTGACACTGGGATGAAAAGGGTGCACTTTCACCTTCTAGCCTCTTTTAATGCTCACAAAACCCCAATCTTGTCAAGTGGTATTTTTAATCCCCGTTTTACTCAAGAGAAAACAGGTTCTGGGAGTTTGAGAGATTAGTCTGATGGTAAGTGATGGTATGATTCATGAGCCCTGATACACATCTTAGTGCAGTCGCCTTACTCAAGCAGAGATGCGCCTGAGAGAGTCCTGTCCTGCAACCCCCAGGAATGGTAACAATCCCATCATGAAACTCCTCACCTGGAGAGGTGAGCAGCTGCGTACCCTACCCCATTGGCTGCAGAGACTAGTGGGCGGGCTAGAGCGTGCGCAAGGTGGCACCTTGGTTTTGCAGATGAATTCCGCGAGTGCTTATTCGAGAGAAGCAAGGCAATTCATTTTGCTTTCAACTCCTCCCCTTCCTCCGCCTCCAGGGGCGGAGCAACGAAACGCGGGAAAACTCGGCTTCCGACACACCCCTTCTTCAGTGCTAGAGGTACGGAAAAAGGGTCTTCTTAAACTGGAAATGAGTGTGGAGGTTCGCCCTTAGGTGTTTAGGGAATTTGTAGCGATCTATTTTAAGTATGCCTTTTTGGAATAGGCTCAGGCCACACCAGAACTACAGCGTCACCTCTTCCCCACTTCCGGTCTCTACACTCATCCCAGGTTTCTGGTCTTTCCTTCCACACTCCAATCCCCATCTCTGGTCGCAGCTTTCCCGCAGTGGGAGGAGCTGTGGGTGACGCCAGCGCCTAGGAATCGGTCCGTGTGAGGTCCGAGTCAGGAAAACCCCTTCCATCAAGACTTCAGAACAATTTAGACACTAGAAAATCTTGAGGAATAGGGCAACCAGGTGACATAATATTTTGGGTGACATCCCATTCTGTGACTTTCATGAACGGCACAGCTGAGAACTAACTGCAAGCAGACCTACATATTAGAGATCCACTTAGAGTCAAAGTATCTCCCGAGTGCCACCAAATCGAAGCTGAAAGTTGTTAATATTTGCATACGTGAACTGCGGTTTTACAGGATTACAGCCAATAGGGAGTGAGAGGACGGAGATGCATTGGGGATGGTCACCTCCTCTGGTAGAAAAGTAAGGAATCAGGTTGGTTTATTCTAAGCGACAGCAGTATCTGCCAATAGTTTTTTAGATGCACAGCTGTAGCAGGTGGGCCCCAGTGCAACCAATGGGGAGCGGCATCTTCAGAGGGTCTAGGGGCCTTGCCCAATAAGGACGAGCGGTCTGTGCGGGCTAGGTCCGAGCGGCAGTACTTAAGACCAACCCTGCGCGGAGCTGGGTGGGACACAGTGCTGAACGACAGAAGTGTTATCCAATTGAGAGTGTGGAAGCGGGCCGACCAGACCAGGAGCGCGGAGGGAGCTGCAGGAGGGGGGAGCCTGAACCGGAGAGAAGCAGGAAGTAGCGGCGGCCGCGGGGAGGGCGGCGGCAGCAGCGGTGGCGGCGGCTGGAGCCGGGCAGAGACACAGTAGTCTCTGCCCGTACTAGGAGCTGAGCAAGTAAGCCTGGCGGGGGTAGATACCGCCTTTGGCCCCGCCCCCTGGGGGGGCGGGTAAATACCCCCGCCCCTCCCCCCCAGTTAACTACCCCCTTCTCCGCGCCGCCCTCCTGGGGCGCGTTGTAGGAAGGCCTTTCTGCTACCTCCATCTCTTGGGGCGGATGGGTGAAACTCTCAGCCTGTTGAAAAGCACACCCCCTAACCGGGTAAACATGAAAGGAGGGTTGAAGACCCCAAGTCCTGGCGTCCCTGGCCTGAGAGGCTCCCGAAGCGCGGCTGGGGAACTGGAGGCTGCGGGATGTCGCGACCTAAAATGGTGTCCATGCCTGCAGGTGGGGGCGGGGGAGCTGGGCCAGGCCGGAGTGAGCCTGCACCCCGACTGGGCGCGGGTCAGCGTCCCGGCCTGGGCTGGACTCAAGCTCGCGCTCTGGGCCCGCCTCGCGGCTCCAGATCGCTCTGCACACAGTAGAGCCCTCTGGACCCCGGGTGTCCAGGAGGCTGTGCTGCGCAGGGTGGGGAGGGGAGGAGGTTGGAGTTGGGACGGACCCCGGCTGGAGAGCTGCTAGTCCCGCAGAGGCTGTCCTCCCCGTCTTCTTTCCCCCACCTCTTCTTTTCCGTCATCCTGAACCGGGAGGTGCTGTGCCGCAACTCCCAAAGGGCCCCGGCGTCCGGGGCTGCCCTTCCCTTTGCACGTTGATGGGGGCAAGAGAAAGGCTGCAAGCCTCAGTTTCCCTTTTGGCCTCTGCGCACACCCCGCCCCCTCTTTAGCACCCCAGACGTGCTCCCCGAGCTGGCCCTCGGCAGATGGCAGGGACTTAATTCCACTCCCTGCCCTGCTTGGCTGCAACCTAATCGCCCCCGGCCGCTGGCCCCTCGCCCTCCCCTGTCAGTGCACACCGCGCAGGCCCCGGACCCTAGCTAGCAAGAGGACATTGGAGCCCCTACTCGACCCAAGCCAGTTTGCCCTTTTCCTGTTCAGCCCCTTCCTTTGGTTTTTGGGGAAGAACATAGGGAAGGGGCGGGGGGGGGGGGCAGGAACCCAAGAGACAGGACGTAGCAGCCGCAGAAAGGCCCAGCCTGAGCCTGGGCCACAAGGAGGATCTCCTTGGTCTCGAGCTGGGTGGCTTGGTGTGTGCACTGTGGGTGGCCATCGGGTGACCTTTAAGTTGCTTGTATGCCAAAGGGGGGAGGTGGTTAGGGGAGGCAAGTTCGCAGGTGTTTTCACATTGTAGGCCCCACTGTTCTGCGCTTCACCACTCTACTTTTCCCAAGGCCCAGGTGGAAGCGCCTGTAGGCCGCTTCAGGTCTGGAGAGAGCTGGGCTGAGGAGGGCCTTGTGGCCCTTCAGGGCAGAGGTAAGGGGTGAAGGGCTTTGTTTAAATTCAAAGTCTGCAGAATTGGAGGGAGGAGGAGGATTCCTCTGTCTCTAGTTGTTACCCCCTCCTCCTACCCTCACCTTGGGCTCATTAATGCCAGCTGCCACCTGCTGGGACGATCTCCTGTTACAGTCTAAAGGCTGCAAAGAGGTGAGGGAATTGGCCCTGGGAAATGGCTCTCATCTTGGGCAGGAAATGTGTAAGAGACTTTTCAGGTATTTCTTCTGGCTTTAGAAACACTTGTGCAAAGACACTAGCAGGATTCAGACCGAGGTCCCCCACATACTCTGACCTGGCCTCCTTGTTAGTTTGGCCACATAATTCCTGTGGGAGTTATTTTTTTTTTGGTACTGGATCAGCTTGGGGGTGGGGTTGGTTGAACAACTGTGGTCAAAGGAAAAATTAAAAGGTTAAGGAGTTTGAGTTAAGAGATAAACTGGGTTGAGGAGCTCTGAGCTTGAGCTTTCCTGGCCTGTGATTCTCCAGTAGCTGAAGAGGCTCCCCTTTTCTTAAGAAAGCTTGACTTGTCTCAATTGTGATTGCTAGTGGATAAGCCTGTGTGCACCCTGGAGTTTTAGCCCTGAGAGAACAGGATGGGGAGAAAAAGAGGGAGGAGCTGGCTAGGGGAGTGCTCTCTAGGTGCTCTGGGGAAGGTAGGTGAGCAAGTCGCAGGTGTTTGTGAAGAGAGAGGCATAAACTGGGGCCCTTGTGACCAAGCTGCTGTCACCATTTTCTCCTCCGTCTCCCTTCTCTTCGTCTCTTTCTGTTCCTCTGTGTTATTTCTAGCTTGGTCTCTTGGGTAATTTCCCTGAGTCCATTTCTCTGTCGACCTATCTAGATCTCTAGGTGAAGACCCCAGCTTCTTGTCCTGTTTTTGACCCTTGCCCTAGATTTTCAGTACCTGCTTCTCAGAAGCAACTGCTCTGGTGGCGCAGTGGTAAAAATACCTGGTTGCTGCTGTAGCCATTCTGTAAGAGAAAGATGTGGTTGTTTGCATCTGTAAAGATGTAGTTTTAGAAACTCCATGGGTAGTTCTACTATATCCTGTTTGGTTTGGACTCCTTAACTCCTTGACGTGACATGGACTTTGGATAGGTAGCTAGGTGAGGCTGTTTCTTGGAAAGATGGAGGGTTGGTGAAGGGGAGAAAGACCCCTAATGAGATGGATTTCAGCAGTGAGCTCTAGTGTGTCAGAGATGGTGAGGATGGTACAGGATAGGGCAGGGTTCAAGAGGGTTGCTGTGAGTTGTATTCAACTTGATGTCACCTAACAACAGCAGGAGCATAATAATAAAAAATCATCTTCTGGGTGATTCTCAAGTTTGTGATATCATACCATGCTTAAAATAACTGTGATGTGCAGTTCACTTGTCCCTTCTTTCAGACATCAGATGTAACACAGTGAAGGAATGTGCTTATATAGCATGCTAGTGATAAAGCTCTAAGTAGAATAATTTCTTATGTCTGCTTAAGTCACTGCCTCTTTGCATGCATGGATTTTCAGATGTCTGTGGACCCCAAAAGATCCATAAAAAAGGCTGATCCCGTGGTGGTGACATGGTGAAACCTTAAACTTAGAGCATCATGTATATCATCTTCCTTAATTGAGGATCTGATTGTTTCCATGCTGGACACAGAACAGGGTGAGGTAGTTTCAACCAAGACATTTACCCTCCTCTGCTTCCAGTACTCTGGTCTGTAATTCTGAGAAGTCTCTCTTCCTCTACTGCTTTGGATTTTGCTGTCTCTCCTGGTATGTGCATCCTGCTTCCTTCAGACTTTAAAGCTTGGCAAACTAGCCCCCTTTACTAGCTCTCTAGGTTTGTTTTATGGTGAGACTATGCCTTCACAGTCTGAGAGAGGATCAGAGATTCTTCTTGTTTCCTGGGGTCTCAGTTTCTTCATTTTCATTAGGTCTGGGACTTATCACTATGGGGGATATGAAGACCCCTGATTTCGATGACCTCCTTGCAGCCTTTGACATTCCCGACATTGATGCGAATGAAGCCATACACTCTGGGCCAGAGGAGAATGAGGGGCCAGGAGGCCCAGGGAAGCCGGAACCCAGTGTAGGGGCTGACTCTGGAGAAGCAACAGCCACAGCTGCTGGGGATGGCTCTGGGGCTCCAGCCCAAACCTCTGACCACAGCTTGCCGCCACCAGACATCTCAGCTGTTAGTGTCATTGTCAAGAACACTGTGTGTCCTGAGCAGCCTGAGAATCTTTCTGGCGGTTCAGGAGGGGAAGGGACTCGAGCTGTGGGGATGACTAAGGAGGCATCTGTGGGTACCCGTCTAATGCAGAATGGTTTTGGGAGTCCTGAACCATCCCTCACAGGGACCCCTCACTCCCCAGTTCCTCCCAGTGGAGGTTCCTGGAAAGAAAAGGCCATGGAAGGCAAAGCTCCTTTGGACCTTTTTGCACATTTTGGGCCTGAGCCAGGGGAGCACCCTGATCCATTGCCTCCCTCTGCACCCTCCCCACCTCGAGAAGGGGCTATGACTCCACCGAACTTCTCCTCTCCCTTTGCACTGGCCCGGGAGAATGGCCCAGCTCTGTTGCCACCTGAATCTTCCCCACCCCTGGTGGCCTTGAAGCAGGAGAGCTGCAGCCCCCTTCGTCCTCAGGACCTTGTCCAGCAAGGCTCTGGATCCAGCCCAGACGCCACAGACATGCCTGCCAGCGCCTCACCTCCCCCCGCTGCTGGGGTCCCGTTCTTTAAGCAGTCTCCTGGGCATGAAAGCCCTCTTGTCTCCCCTGAGGTGCCTGACTGTCAGCCTCTAAAAGAAGAGGGAGAAGATGATGAGGGTCCGGTGGAAAAGTCTCTCCCAGGAAGTCCCCAGAGTCCCTCTAGTGGAGCTGAGGCTGCAGATGAGGACAGCAATGACTCCCCTGGCTCCTCCAGCTCCTCTAGGCCCCTCAAGGTGCGGATCAAGACCATTAAAACATCTTGTGGAAATATCACAAGGACTGTAACTCGAGTTCCCTCAGACCCTGACCCCCCTGCACCCTCATCTGAAGGGGCCGTCCTGGCTGAGGCCAGTCTCCTAAAGCTGTCCCCTGCACCCCCGACCCCTGAGGGTCCAAAGGTGGTGAGTGTCCAGTTGGGTGATGGCACAAGGCTAAAGGGCACTGTGCTGCCTGTGGCCACCATCCAGAATGCCAGTACCGCCATGCTGATGGCAGCCAGTGTGGCCCGTAAAGCTGTGGTCCTGCCTGGAGGAACTGCCACTAGCCCTAAATCAATGGCCAAGAATGTGCTAGGCCTGGTGCCCCAAACCCTGCCCAAGGCTGACGGCCGGGCCGGGCTGGGGACAGCGGGGCAGAAGGTGAACGGAGCCTCTGTGGTAATGGTGCAGCCTTCAAAGCCAGCCACTGGCCCAGGGGCAGGTGGTGGCACAGTGATCTCACGGACCCAGTCCAGCTTGGTGGAGGCCTTCAACAAAATCCTCAATAGCAAGAACCTGCTGCCTGCCTACAGGCCAAACCTGAGTCCCCCGGCTGAGGCAGGCCTGGCCCTACCCCCAACAGGCTACCGCTGCCTTGAGTGTGGGGATGCCTTCTCCCTGGAGAAGAGCCTCGCGCGGCACTATGACCGCCGGAGCATGCGCATCGAGGTTACCTGTAACCACTGTGCCCGCCGCCTGGTCTTCTTCAACAAGTGCAGCCTGCTGCTGCATGCACGTGAGCACAAGGATAAGGGGCTTGTCATGCAGTGCTCTCATCTAGTCATGAGGCCTGTCGCCCTTGACCAGATGGTGGGGCAGCCGGACATCACACCCTTGCTACCGGTGGCTGTTCCACCTGTCCCTGGACCTCCAGCCCTGCCTGCCTTGGGCAAGGGTGAAGGGGCTGTCACCTCCTCCACCATTACTACAGTTGCTGCTGAGGCCCCTGTGTTGCCACTGTCGACTGAACCACCTGCTGCGCCTGCCTCCTCTACTTACACATGCTTCCGCTGCCTGGAGTGCAGGGAGCAGTGCCGGGACAAGGCTGGCATGGCTGCCCACTTCCAACAGCTCGGACCCCCTGCCCCTTGGGCCACCAGCAATGTAAGTTGTATTTCACAACCCTGCCTTGGGGTGAGGAGGAGTAGCAGATGCTGTGGGGATAGAACTTGGGGTGGAGTTCGATTTGGTTGGAAGTCAATGGGAGACAGGTTACTCCTTACTTACCAGCCTAATGCTTCAACACCTAGATGTGCCCGACCTGCCCTATGATGCTCTCCAATCGCTGCAGCTTCAGTGCCCACCAGCGCATGCATAAGAACCGGCCTCCTCACGTCTGTCCTGAGTGTGGGGGCAACTTCCTGCAAGCAAATTTCCAGACCCACCTTCGAGAGGCTTGTCTGCATTTCTCACGTCGAGTAGGATACAGGTGCCATGCACCTTTCTGCCATATATTGTGTGGACACTCGCCCTTGTGCTTTATGGCCTCACATCTCTGAGCAGCAGATTTGGAGATGGTTTTACAAGGAGAGTCCCCACCTCTCTGCTTTGTTCCCCAGCCCTTAGCCTGAGTTGTGATATCCATCCTTCCCACAGTTCCCTGGGGGAAGCAGGGCCTCCTGTGGAGTGTGCATTCTGCCATGGCCTTTAGGGAACTGGGCCTTTGCAGCGCAGAGCCGGCCTTTTTCTGTCTTATACTGTACTGCTGATTTCCTGCTGGCCAGGTGTGGGTTGGGGGAGTGCCCAGGAGATGCCCCTATCTCACCATAGTGTCTCCCACTTCTCCCCAAGGTGTCCCAGCTGCTCAGTGGTCTTTGGGGGTGTGAACTCCATCAAGTCTCACATCCAGACGTCACACTGCGAGGTTTTCCACAAGTGCCCCATCTGCCCCATGGCCTTCAAGTCTGCACCCAGCGCCCATGCCCACCTCTACACCCAGCATCCTAGCTTCCACACGCAACAGGCCAAGTGAGACCTGGGATAGTGGGGAATGGGTTGGGGGAAGATTTGGGCCTTCAGGAGAGTCAAATGGGCTTGGGGATCCCTTTGACCCCACCTGATGACCACGCTGCCCTTTATCTGCCCAAAGGCTGATCTACAAGTGCGCCATGTGTGACACCGTCTTCACTCACAAGCCCCTCCTCTCCTCACACTTCGACCAGCACTTGCTGCCTCAGCGAGTCAGTGTCTTTAAGTGCCCATCCTGTCCTCTGCTCTTTGCTCAAAAAAGGACCATGCTGGAACATCTCAAAGTAAGGAGTGAGAGGAGGGGGCGGGCTCCGTGAGCACTGATGTGGGCCAGAGTCACACAACACTCAGGGAAGGAGAGTGCAGAGGGGACAAATGGTTTGGAAAAGCCAGGCCTTTCCCCAGTGGAGGCTCCCTGTCTCTCTCATAGAACACTCATCAGTCTGGACGTTCAGAGGAAGAAACTAATGGAAAAGGGGCTGGGGGTTCCCTCCTGACTCCTAAGACTGAGCCCGAGGAGCTAGCTGTTTCTCGTGGGGAGGCCGCCCCCACTGAGGAGTCATCTTCATCTACAGAAGAAGAGGAGCCACCCAGCTCCCCCGAGCCTCCCCGCCCAACTAAGCGACCCAGGAGGGAACTGGGGAACAAAGGCATCAAGGGCGGGGGTGGGGGACCTGGAGGTTGGACCTGTGGTCTTTGTCACTCTTGGTTCCCTGAGCGTGATGAGTATGTGGGTCACATGAAGAAAGAACATGGCAAGGTGAGTGCAGTCCCTAAGGGAAGTAGGAGGTGCAGCATCAGGAGTGGCATGGGTGATGCTGGGGATGAGGGCCTCTGGTCCAGCTCTGAAATCTCCCACCCCCTGCTCTCTTAGTCAGTGAAAAAGTTTCCCTGTCGCCTGTGTGAGCGTTCCTTCTGCTCTGCCCCCAGCCTGAGGCGCCACGTCAGGGTCAATCACGAGGGTATCAAGCGAGTTTACCCTTGCAGGTAACCCTTGCCTTGCCCTCTTCTTTCTGCCCAGCAGTGCACGCACCTCTCCGCTGCTCACAGCACCTTTCCACCTGCTGCTTGAGTGGTCTGAACGCTGAGGGCCCCCTTTGCTTGGATGCCCCCTTTGTCAGGAGCCTTGGACTCGGACTCTGCTGTGCTCATGGTACCTGCTCTCCACTTCCAGGTATTGCACAGAGGGAAAACGCACCTTCAGCAGCCGCCTGATCCTGGAGAAGCATGTCCAGGTCCGCCATGGCTTGCAGCTGGGAGCCCTGTCACCTGGTCGGGGCAGTGCCCTGGCTCGAGGTCCTGGTGCCAGAGCCCAGGTAGGGAGAGGCCCAGCCTATACTGTGTTAGGGTTTTGGAGAATTGCAGGGTGTGGACCTGGGAGTGCCACGGACAGTAGGGCAATGGAAGGACTACCATTCCTTTCACTCTTCCAGGGGTCAGGACGGAAACGCCGCCAGTCGTCTGATTCTTGCAGTGAGGAGCCAGACAGCACAACACCACCGGCCAAGTCTCCCCGAGGTGGACCTGGGCCTGGAGGCCACGGTCCCCTGCGCTGTCGGAGCAGTGGCTCAGAGCAGAGTCTCATGGCGGGGTTGAGGGTGGACGGTGGCACCCAGCAGTGCCTCGACTGTGGCCTCTGCTTTGCCTCCCCAGGCTCCCTCAGCCGGCACCGGTTCATCAGCCATAAGAAGAAGAGGGGTGTGGGTAGTACTGGTGCCCTTGGGCTGGGAGATGGGGAGGAAGATGCCCCCCATCCAAAGTCTGACCCAGAAGGTGGAGATTCACCTTTGCCTGCTTCTGGAGGCCCACTGACCTGTAAGGTCTGTGGCAAGAGCTGTGATAGCCCTCTGAACCTCAAGACCCATTTCCGCACGCATGGCATGGCCTTCATCAGGGCTCGGCAGGGGGGCAGTGGGGAAAACTAGGCCCCAAACTGGGCCCTGACCAGTTAAGGTTTCACTGCTGCTGCCTGGTCCCTGGGCTGGGGAGTTTGATTAATACATTAACTCCTCCTTTCCTCCAAGGGAAAAAGGCTTTTGAGGATAATAATTATTTGCAACCCTTCTTCCCTCTTTGGGTTTGGCATTTGGGTCCTAGTAGAGTGGGCCCTCCATTCCTCCTTTTTGAGCCCAACACTAATTCTCCTTTTGCTGTAGACCCCCGGGGGTCTGGGGGTGGGAGGAAGGCATTTCCTTATGCCCATTAGACGGGACCAGGGAAGACCAATGCTGAGAAGCATCGTGGACACTCCCAGCTTCAGGCACAGGCAGGGACGGCCTCCCCTGGCCTCTCCACTCCACTCCCTGGCACTCCAGCCCCACCCCTGCAGTGCCTTTCATGAGTCTTTTTTTTTTTCCCTTCCTCAGAAATCCATGGGGGGTTGGTGGGAATGAGTCCTGTCAAAGGGAGCCCAAGGAGAGGAGGGGACAGGTTCTCAGGAATCCTTTATTCTTGTAGTAATAATACTAACAGTGGAGGAAATAGGGAAAAAACCAGACCATTAAAACTGCTCATGGTTTAATCCCCAACTCAGGCTCTTCTTTTTATGTGACTTGGACAGTGGACATTCGAGGAGGTGAGAGTTAAATGGGGGAACACCTTAGGGAAGAGGTGTTATTGGTAAAG